ATAATTTGGGCTATACAAAACATGTCCGAACAAGGACTGAATCATCTAAATTCGTAGCTCTTTTTTACGTATTCAGAAAAGCTAATATTTTTCTGAGCTTGCTATCAAAGGATAGTTTTCTATAACACACTTACTACCAAACCAAGTGTATTGGAGTAGTTTGAAAATTTAGACCGATTAATATCTAAAATTCCTATTCAAAGATAGTGTTGTTGGACCCAATACTGTGATGCCATTTGGCATCTCATGTGCTATAAAACCACATATTTCCAACGCACTTGACTGATCTCTTACGTTTCTAGAAAAGCGAAAATATGCGATTACGCCATGTGCATTCGAAGAAATGAGGAACATGATGTTAACCAGTGGCATCGACAAGTAATTGATATATCAAACAAAAAAACTATCCACATTTTAGTACATACGCCATGTTGAACGCTAGATCGCTGTGTAGCTCTAGTGATCGAGCTTGTATGAATCCCCCATGATGACGAGAGAAAGAGAAACCAAAGACATCATAATTAAACCTCTTCAAAAATACTGATCGCACGAGTATTGCGTCGCACCTCTTACCACTACTGCCTAGGGTCATTTAAACAGACTGTGGTTCTGTAATATTCTAACAATTGCAGTGCAACACGCATGAGCATCGTTGTGTTGATTACAGTATAATCATGCTGTTCATCAGGGATGCTTCCGGGAGCAGTGCTACTCAGCGTGGAACGATGCAGGTCCTCTGACACAAAGAAATTGGTCTGCTTAAATAGTACCGCATGCATCCGGCATGGGGCAGTAAAATTAGTTGTTAATCTGAGCCTACGGAATTAGGTTCTTGTCGCCGTATTTCAATTCATGAATCAATGCCGGTGATTTTTATGTAAGTGTAATTACATTGGAGAACATCTGGCCTCTTGTTAATTTTCTCATAGCTGGCATGAACGAACTGCTGCAGGCCATTCATTAAAAACCTAGTAATGGTGGCCGCAAAATAAGTGTCTCTCAGTGATAATTCCGGTGTGAAATGCTGTTGCATTTAAGTATTCGTCTTGTTTAAAGCCTTTAACAAAGCCCTTCATAAAGACATCATCATTTTAATCTCATGCAA